CATTTCTTGGAAATATGGCTGCTGTCTGCTTAGACGATCTGTGTTTTATTGAAATTCATGAAAAGAACAGCATTTGTTACCAGAAGTCTTCTTTTGTGTTGTTTTCACAGACTCATTAGGACTCCAAAATACACAAAACTGCTCAGTGTTATGATGTAAAAATGATGTAAATGAATACACCAAAGAATTGCATGATCTCCTCCCTCCCCTCTTTTCTCTGTAAAAGCAAAGAAGGCATGGAACCCTCCCAAACAGGCAGAGGTGCATCAGGAAACTGCAGTTATTTTATACACCTGAATAACTGTTCTATTACATCCTATTATGTTTTGCTGTGAATGTCAGAGAGGTGCCCTAAGAATCAGGAACTACTTAAAGAGATACTATGCAGTTCCTACTTGCTAGAAACCTGTCTTTACAATAGAAAACATAGGCAGGCTTAATTTTGTCTCTTTCAGTGTCCCTTCCAAGGAAGGGGAGAGCAGTTCAGCTTGAATTTCTTAATGGTGCTGTGAAACACAACCAATTAAGCACATCTGATGAGCCACCTGGTGAGCTCTACTGTGGGGCTGTAGAACAGGATTTACCTTCCTGCTCTGGAGGCTGAGGTAGAGAATCAGCACAAAACTCTTCTTTACAGAGATACTTCTGGGTAAATAATAAACTGAGTCAGAGGATGAATAAAGGAAACTTTTTTTTTTTTTTTTTTTTTTTTTTTTTAATGCTGAATGAATATAAGGTAGGACTGAAGTAAATGAAAACATTTCCTTGAGAAAGTGAACTCAGTAGAAACTTCTGGTTTTGATGAGCTGTCTCTCTGAAGAACTGGATGTGCTTTAACAGTATCGTTTCTGATTTATCTGCTGTTGCCAGATAAATTTTTCTTCAAGGGGGGAGAGTAGAATTCTCTTTATTTAATGTACCATGTCTGGAATGTGGACTAGATTCAGCTACATGTCGCTTATAATTATTTATGTAACTTATTAATCACCAGGCTGTCACTCAGTGTTTATAAAATACAAAAGAACACTTGGAGCCTGAAAAATTACATTTTTCCTCCCCTATACCTCCCCAAAGGACCCTTTGCACTTCTGAGGAGACCTCCATTTAAATGAAAATCTGTTGCCCAGTCTGAGCAGCAAGGAACTCTGTAATGATAATTTAAAGAACATGCTTGTGCTTGGGAATTGGAGGATTTGCTTTAAGGTGCTGTTAAAGCTTTACTTTCAACTTTTCTGGAAAATGCTCTTGGCTCATCGTTAAGGTGTTGTTTTTTTTTTCTGGATGGTTCATGGATAGTGTCCCCGTCGTGCCTGCTCAGCAACTTAATTTTCCCAACACTTAATACTTGTAAAACCACAGCAACCTCCAAGATCACTACCTGTGGACTGTGCCTGCTTGAAACTGGCCAGTGCCTTCAAGAAATTGTTAGAGTGCCCATAAACAGACACATGTGGAGCTCTACACCCTGCTTTCCAAGCCTTGTTCCTCTTGTAGCTCTATGATGAGTAAATCAAGTGTGGTTTTGCACAATTTGCTTTTGAGCTCTTGTGCAGGATAGCTCACAGCCTGTCTTTCAGGAGAAGGTACCAGTTCACAGAAAACAGTCTCGGGGCTTGTAAATAGTACATAGAAGAGCAATGACTCCATTCAGCTGAATTACATTTAAGATTTGATTATGAATGGCATCTTTGAGGCAGGCCATTTATCATTTGGCATTCTACGTGGGTCTCAGTGTCTTGAAGCTTCATAAAGGCAATTTATTAAACAGCTTCAGCCACATCGGGAGGTGACCCAGTGAGCTGGTGAAATCCACTATCTGGTGCCCACCTCACGGGCTGTGGTACCAGCAAGGTGCTTATCCTCTTGATGCCTCAGCACAGCCTGCAGTTGTTTTACTGGTTTTTATCTGCCTTCTTACCCGTTTGGTAGGCTGACGAGCAGCATGTTTTCAGTCTTTGCATGAAAGGCTCCACATTAATCCATGCCATGATCTGCTTTGTTTGCTTCCACCATTAAAATTACTTGTTTCCCCCAAAGATCTGCCATCTGTCACTCTTCACCTTTTACATTTTTTATGCTCTATAGCTGAGCAAACACGAGTGCCTGGGTAATCCTATTTCCCATTATCTGTGCGTGGAAGTGCCCTGAGGTCAAGGCGATGGTGAAGGCTCACTCTTGCCTGGGTTCCCTGGGACACGAGGGCTCTCCCTGCAGGCTTGTCCAATTGTGGTTGCTAAAAGCACTTTGGGTTTTTCATTGTAGTTGTTGCCCAATCTTAAGAAAACTACTTTAATTTGGATTATTTCCCAGGAAGCAGCATAAAATTGAAGGTGGGATGGGCAAGGAGATGAGGCATTAAATGAGGGAATGTGGGTGGCTAAAGGGAATGGCTCTGTGCTCTCAGCAAGGGTAGTGATACTGAGGTGTCATTGGGCACCTTGGCACTTGACAGAAGGCCAACCCTTTTGTGATGGCTGGGACACAAGCCACTGAGTCACCAGTTGCAAATGATTTTTGTGTTTTCATAATCCTTGTGAGTAATATCCTGTCAAAGTCTCATCAAAAGTTATTAGTCTCTCCATAAACTGATACATCAATATATAAACTTGCCTTGTAATTAATTTTATGAGCTATGCCCCTGGCACCACAGAGTTCTTATTTCATTTTGGGAGCATAATTGATTAGGCTTCCTGTAGCTATAATGTAGACCAAGGATGTTGCCACCAAACAAGGAGCAATCTGTGACAGCTCATTTGCAGAGAGCTATCTACTTTTTCCAATGTTGAACATACAGAAGGCAGTGTAAAATATTTTGTATTGCTACTGCAGTGCTCTGCTTGGAATTAAAAGAAAGACAAAACAGGGTAATTAAACAGACAAATTACTAAGGTAAATTTGTATATATTTGTACAGCAGCTTTTATTCTCCACTGTAAAGGTTTTTCTTCTCCACTGAATTCCTTTGATAATGTTTGCCTCACTATAGCATCAGATGACATTCCCGTTCGGGCAATTAGATTTGGCATTGCTAACATTTCCCTGTTACAATTGCATCAGATACTTTCCTCTGCTTTCCGTAGCTGCAGTGGCACAATTAAATCTCTTTCTCTGATCTCCCTTTTAGCAATTACAGAGCCCATCTTTATGCCAATGCTTTAGTAATAGGATTTCCCTTCTCTGTCCCTGTTTAATATTTGAGTGAACGTTACCTGAGAGAAATATGTTGGACATGCAGGCTGTATTAGTTTAATTTATGGCTAGCATGAAAGAGGCAATATTTCCTGTAGATAAGGTCAAAAGGGCTTTGTTTTCTATTAATTAAAAATAAGCTCTTACAGGATGATGCGTGTAAGTAATAAAGACATAACGTGCATTTGTGTGGCCATAAAGAAAAGGAGTGGGATTATTCACAGAGCAGTGATCGTAGCTGGAGCCTCGTTCTGACCCTGGCAACAAAGCAAACAAGGGGCAAATATGGATTATTTTATTCCTTCCTGCTTATGCCAGCTGGAGAAGTGAGCTGAGTGCCCAAGGGATGCAAATCCTGAGTTGTCCAGCCCCTGGAAGCTTATAGACACAAGGATGAGACTAAGAGTGTCTGATGCTTGCAGCTGCAGGGAAAGCTCTATGTGGCTGAATGTGGTAGGAGTTCTGTCTAGAGCAAAAAGAAAGCAAAACCTCAGAAAGCTGTTTAAAAATGAAACTAAGAATTTCAGAGGAAGAGTCAGAAGAAATGAGAAATGCTTCCCTCCAAAGCAGCAACAGAATGATAAATTACTTTTGCCTTTCTGAAGCCAAGCTAGAAAACCTCTGTTCACCTCTATTATCTACTTCTGGTCTCTGAAGATGCATTACCATATTAATTCATTGCATTATACAATCTGAGCAACTAAATGAGTTTACCTTATGCCCTCTTAATAGTATTTTCTCTTAATGCTAGCTTTAAGTGATACATTTTAGGGGATACTTGAAGTAGGATGCATCAAGAAAATTTATTTAAATTCAATTTTGCTTACAAATTATGACTTATCTCTTCTTGATGAACCAAGTATGGAAAAACCACATAGCCTCTCCATGGGGGAAACCTCTCGGCACTGAGACTGCTGCTACCTCACATGTAATGTGGGGTTTTACTGAGGCAAAAAGCAGCAGGAGGCAAGAGGAACTGTTCCTGTCAAAGGCATCTGTGGCATCGTGGGCTGAAAAACATTCCTGATGGATCAGGATGGTTCCAGTCTGCTGGAACACAGGGCGTGTGCTATGGTGCTGTGCTGCATATTGTACCCATTGCGTGGTTCAGGGTGTGTGTGCATTTGGCTGCATTGTTTGTTACTTGGGCTTTTGTGTTGTTGTGGGTTTTTTTTTAATGTTCAACTATTTGCTATTTACAACGGCTGACAGAAGTAGCATTAACTTGCTGCCAGCTGGAGATCAGTTCCTATCTGACCTCTTGATACATACTAAACACCTTGTGACTTCAGAGGGAATTTCATCTCATCTTTGTGGCACTAACATAAATTAGTAAATAGAAAGTATCTTCATTTGACATGTTCCAATGTAAGTACATGATCAGCAGAGTCTCATGTTGAGTAATTTTAAGTTAATAGGTTTATCCCTGTGCTAGGTATGCTATTCATTTAAACTGACCTTACTTTATTTGAATTATTGCTCAGATTTGCACAAGTACAAATGACCTAATCTTCCAAAATACATTTTCTGATCGACATAAGCAAACATTCTGAAGAAGCAATTATGTAAAAGAAATGGTTTTAGGCAACAAATGGCTCTATAAGTAAATGAATGCATCCTAAAAAAGTGTGACACTTCTATACTTAAAAAAAAAAAAAAAAGTTAAAATCAATGAAATGTGATGTTTCTGAAAATAAGAGCTCAAGACTACTCTGAGAAATGGAATACAGTGAAAACAAAGGCTGTTCCAGCCTTCTGCTGGTGCATAGCCCGTATACACACATTTGACCAGTGTCACCTCTGACTTTCCAGGTCTGCAACATCAGCGAGAAACTATATGGAAAACCTGCCCATTTTTTTTATCTACAACCTGTAGGAGGTAAGGTTTTTTAACAAGTTGAAAGGTCTTTCTTTAAAGCAAAAGCACTGCAGAAGTTTGCCATGCTACTCACCTTTGTGTCTTTTCTATTTTGTCCTTTGTCGATACCCAGGGATTGTATTATTTATGTAGGTTTAAACACTTTTCCCTAAATACAAGAAGAATGTGGGGAAATAGATGTTCCTCTTCTGATACATTTTTTACATGTATCTACTCATGCTATCTGTGGAAAAATGTAATTGATAACTGTTAGAAAGATATTACAAAGCCACGTACTATCAATTGTGTCAATGGGTACGGGAAGAAAAGCAGTAGATGAAGCTTGGTGCTGGAGAAATCAGTATAGACAAATGATTTTCTCACAGTGATCAAATCTTAGACTGAAGATAATAGGTAGCTACACAGTTGTGCATTGGTATGAACAGAGTATCAAGACAAGGAAGAAGAAGGGTGAAAACACAAATGTTGCTTGAGATAAAAAGAGGAAATTATATTGCTAAAGAGAGAGGAAGAGCAGTATGACAGCAGTCAAAGCACTGTGAGAAGAAGACAAAGAAATGCAGTAATAGAGAATGTATGACATAAGGAAGATGAAAGGCACTGCTTACAGCTACAGTTATCGCATGATCCTTGGTGTGATGCTGGCTTCCCATAAGGTAATACATGGCACATGGCTAAGATAAGCTGACACAGCTCCGTCTAGAAGTACTCATAAATGTTTTCTCTCTTGTTTTCCTTCCTCATAGGAATGGGTATGGTCTACCAGGAAGGTACATCTTCCCAAATCTGTGGGCATTTTTTTTTTATGCTTAGAAACAACGAGAGTGCCTTTTTACACACACCTTGTTATTAGTCCAACATCTCCAAGTTAGCATAACTTATATGATAAAAGACTTCAGGAACATAGACTGTTTTCACCTAAATCGTGCTATAGCTGCTACAAAGGGAATGCAAAAGGAGGTGTCCAGGACAAGAGCATCTTTTATGCTGTGATAATGAAAGGCATGTGGCTGTGAGGAGCATAGCACAGTGCCAGCTGGCAGTGCACTTGATCTTTATTGGTGGCATCAGTCCCCAGGAACAGGAGAGATGTGTTTGTCCTATCTCCAGGTGGCTGCCTACACAGTGTGGGCAGAAGAAGGGCTTTGCTGATGTAAATTGATACTTTGCTTATGTTGCTCATGGCAATGCCTTTTTAACTGGTGCGCAAGATGAGAAGAAGAAATGTGGTGTCTCTGGAGAAACAAGTGTCTTTTAGATGCACAAATTAAGCAGTTATTTACAAATCCCTTGCTGGCACTGGGGAGGGAGGTGTCGCTGGGCACAGCAGAGGCAGCACATTAGGCAAATGTTTCAGCTTTGTCTCTAAGATACACGCTGCCCTTTCTAAAATGAATATGTTTGTACCTTAGAGAAAAAAGGAATCAAAGCGGTAATACTTACGGGAGGCACACAACATGAAGTGCTGTTTTGTATACTTGCTCATTTCCTCAGACTTCTGGGTTTCTCAAATATGTCTCCTATGCATATTTTGGACCATGGAGATGTTTCCATGGTGACAAATAGATGCTATGTTTATTTATTGGGCAGCAGAGAATGACAATGTCGGCAAATGACATTTCTTTCCATTCCTTTTCTTTTTCTTTCTTTTTTTTTTTTTTTTCCATCTTTCCAAGGGAGATTTGGTTTAGCTAATGAAGCTGGCAAGCAGAAGCAGCAGCAGTTTTTCAGATATCATTCAGCTCCACTTTGAGTACATGAGACAAAAGTAGAGAGCAGTTACTGTGGCAGTGTGATTCTCCAATGATCCCTCCAAAGCCTTTCTCTATTCTGCATGCACAGAATTTGTGGTGAGTGGGCATTGCCTGCAGTGTCAGGGAGATTTCATGGGAAAGGATGTAAATATTTCTTGCATTAAGTGCATGGCTTTTTTATCAGTCCTCCCTCACATCTGTTCCTGTCAATATTGTCCATAATAATGATCTTTTAGGTAAAGCTCTTCTAGCCCATACTGTTCTGGGAACAAAACAAAAGAAAAACCACAAACAAACAAAACCAAAAACCAACCAAGCAACAACAACAAAAAAAGCCCTTCATATTTGCAATAGCCTGTGAAGAGGAGGAAAGAGAGATTTTTAGGAGGAGGCTTCTGTGAGAAGAAGCTTCTGGCTGCCACCTACCAGGTCAGGCTGCCCAGGACCCCATGTAACCTGGTCTTGAACACCTCCAGGGATGGGGCATCACAACTCCTCTTTTAGGAGGAAATTCATTACTCAGAGCAGCGAGGTGCTGGCATAGAATTTCCTCCTAAAATCTAATGTAAATTTCCTCTTGCTGAAGGAGTGAGATTTTTATAGTCCATCTTTCCTCCCTCCTAATGTATGTGTTTGTGCTGGAGCTGCCCAGTATCTGGCTGTGCCTGGAAAAACAGAGGAGCCAGCAAGACAAGCAGTTTCATGCAATATTAACAAGCAGAAGAAAGAAGCTGATGATACTCATCAGTGGCAGACTAGATCTAAGTTCGAATGTTTGACTTGAACTTTTGAAAGTAAGTAAACTCCTCCGGCTTTGCTTTTCCTTCCCTAACAGTTCTGAAATTTTGCCACTTGAGCTTTCATTGAATGGGGAACTGCATACATTGTCCATGCACGTGTGGCTTGATGCTAAGAAAACACACATCAAAATGGCGCTGTTGTTTTTCTCAGACATGTCTGATCTTCTCAGCAGGAGAATCTGGTCTCCAGTCAAAAGATATGCAGATCTACACCCATCCATATATAGTCAGCACATTCCTGGAGTTTTTTATAGTCTTGCGTAAATGTACAAGGACTGCTCCAAAAGTAATGCCTCCAATTTCATTATGTTGGCCCACGAGGTCAGAGGTGGATGTTGCTTGTATGGCATAGAGGTTGAACCTTCCCACCAATATTCCATTACGTGTTGTTGCAGCAGAGAGAGGGGTAGTCTGACAGAATGGCATCTGACATGGACACGTGTATGAAGCAAGGGAATGGAACTGAATTCTTCCTTGTGGAAAAAATGGCACCCACTGACATTCACTGACACTTGCTGAATGTTTGTGGAGGCAAAACAGTGAATGTGAGCAGAGTGAGGCGGTGGTGGTGCATTTCAGCAGTGGTGACAGTGATGAGAAAGGCAAGCTTCATTCTGTTGGCCATGCAGATATTTATAAGCATGGCATGCAAATTCTTGTTGACCACTGTCAAAAATGCACAGTTAATGGTAGTGACTATGCTGAAAAATAGTGTTTTGTAGCTGAGAATTTGCTTTATTGACTGGTATTATTGTGCTCTTTGTATCTATTATAGTTTCCATGGAAATAAATAGGAGGCATTACTTTTGGATATTTCTACAAAATGCCTTTCTGTAAATAATTATCAATTCAGGACTTTGTTTGAACTTGGAGATGTTTAATTCTTGCAAGTGTTTTTTTCTGCTTTTTGGTGTTTTTTTTTTCCTCCAAATGTTTTGTATTGTGTGTCTGTGCTCATTTCCTGAGCAGCCCATCTGTGCATTGGACCTAGGACCCTGGATCTGGATTTTCTGTCTCCACTCACACTTGCAGAAAGCTAACCCAGAAAATGTTAAGTACAAACAGAAGTCCGTTCGTAGGCCATAGCAAAGACACAAAAGAATATGTTCTCTCCTTTAATATACTGTAACCCTAATCTTGCACTAATTCTTACTGCCAGCAATTTAATTACAGGGATTTGATACTTACATCTTGAAAATATTTTTGGAGGGCTTTTCTCCCCCTTTTTGACTGTTGGATCAGGCCCACTAAAGCTGGCATATGCCTACAATCACAGGAATGAAAAAGGAAATACTCTATGCTGCATGGAATAAGAAAGATGTGGAGTTCTATCCACATCAGCTCCTTCCAAATTGTGTTTGTGTGCTTCAGCAGGTCTTCAGACTAATGTCAGATGGATCCCTTGGGTGGTTATTACATTGCCACTGCTATGGGATTAGAAGGGTCTGTGCAGTTGCCTTTGGCTGTGAGGCAAAAAGCCTTGTGGCATGGTGTCAAGAAAAGGAGGAAAGAATAACAAGGAGACAAATGAAACAACTTGGCCAGCCAGAAGATGTGACATTGGAGCCAAGCCAGCGCTATGACACAACATGGGCTGTGAAAGGTCCCTGGGCAGCTGGCACGCTGCTCACTGTGGGACGTGGGTGTGCAGCAGGGATGTCTGCATCATCCTCCATTTCCCAAGCCCTGGCTGCTCTCATTTAAGGTGGGGACATGGGGCACTGGGCCCAAGTAAACTGGGAGCTAAAGTGGGAAAGGAAAATCATGCAAAAAATTTATGGGGACATTTGAGTTTGAATGACTGACAAGTTCTACGGTATCAGAACTTTTGTTGCATTTGAAGGAAAAAGTGGGTACTTGGTTTTGGTCTTGAGAAGAGGCCCCGAAGAGGAGGCTGACTACTCTTGGTGTGTAAACTGGTAGGGGGAGCTCTGGTGCATCCCTGCTCTCTGTGAAAGGTAGATCTACCAAACAGGGAAGCTTCAGAGAGCACTACTTGCTGTTGTACTCTTCAGCTTCTCCTTGTCACAAAATCCTTTGCCTCTTGGAGCTCAGGGACTTTCTAGAAACAACATATTCTCATACTTGTTGTTTTTTAAGTCTGATCCCTTGGAAGTCTTTCAGTCAAACGCAGTGGTCAGTGGTTCCAGGTCACAGTGCCTTTTATATGGCTTTAAGCAAGAAATTCCTAATGATATGTTTACACCTCAGGCATTCCTCTGAGGTTGCCTTCACAAGGAATCTGCTCTCGGAGCTCATTTGTTCTGATCATTAGCTCACATTGCTTTTCTTGCTGAAAAAGGGAGAAAATGTCTGCAAATCCAGGTTCTGTGGGCTACATATAAAGGTGGATAAAAGCGTGTTTTGAAAAACAGGTCCGCTCACTTCTCCCACAGTGGAAAATCATTCATCTGCCAGTGTTTGGTAGTCTCAGCTACATCAGATG